TCCACGGAAGTATCGAAGTGACCAGGTTGACTCAATTTATATATATGTAGTTTTCCTCCATTAGGATATAAACTGTAAGGATAGGGACTGTCCTGACACTCTGACTACCTTTATTTGTACCTCTGACACATAATACTTAATAAGTAAGTCCTTTCTCTCTCTCTCTCTCACACATGCACAAAAACACACCTCCTTCATAGGATCATATATTTATAGCTGGAAGAGATCTCAGAGGTCATTTAGTCCAAACCCTTAATTTTACAGATGAAGAAACTACAACCCAAAGAGGTAAACAGTGACTTTCCCAAGGTGTCAGTTGCCTCAAACTCAACATGGTTAATATTGAATCTAACTTTGCTCTCATGTTGGTTCCCTTACTCAACCATCCCATTTTCATGACATTTCATGCCCATTCTTCCAGTTTCTCCAGCTAGAAAGCTAGAAGACCTCTTCCACTTTTCCTTTAGTTCTTATCTGCAATATCACCAAATCTGATTATTTAGTCTTTTGAAACGAGTCCTGGATTCACCCTTTACTTTCTATTCTCACTGCTACCATCTTGCCACTTCTTGCTTGGATTCAATTGCTATGCTAGCCTTCTAGCTAAAACTGGGTAGAGACTCCCTACTCTCAGTCTCTCACTTCTCCAATCCATTTTGTATAGTGCAATATTAGTTTTCCTAAAACAACACCTTTTATTTTTCCTTTTATTTTTTTGAGGCAATTGGGGTTAAGTGACTTGCCCAGGGTAACACAGCTAGTAAGTATCTGAGGCCAGATTTAAACTCTGGTCCTCCTGAATCCAGAGGCAGTACTCCATCCACTGTGCCAACTAGCTACCACAAAACAACATATTCTTAATGTCAATCCTCTGACCAAAAAACTATTACCTATATTGCCAGTACTAGATCATCTAAACTTTTCCTCCTGGCTTTCAAGGTTCTCTACAATAAGGCTCTACTTACCTCCACTCTACCTATTGAATATCCACCCCTTCTTCCCAACTAGATTTCAACACTCACTTTGCTTTGACCAGAAAATGAAGGCCATCATACTATTGCCTCACATTGTTCATACTCATTCCTACCTCTGATTTTGTCAATCTCATTTTCCTTGTCTGAAATCCCTTTCCTGCTATATTCAATTTATACAAATTCTACCTATCATGGGGACAAAAAATTGGAAACCAAGAGGGGGCCCATCAATTGAGAAATGGCTGAAAAAGTTATGATATATAAATGAATGCGATGGAATACTATTGTACTATAATAAATGATAAAGGGGATGCTTTCAGAGAAATCTAGGATAATATGTATGTACTGATGCAAAGTGAAGTGAGCATAACCAGGAGAACAATTTACAATAATAGCAATATTGTAAGGGCAAATAACTTTGAAAAACTTAGGAACTCTTTTGAACACAATTATCATTTGCCATTGAAGATGACTCATGAACTCATGATGAAACATGTTATGCACCTCTGGATGAATTAGCTGACAGATTCAGAGTGCAGACTGAATTATACATATATAAATGCATACACACATATGGTATGTATGCATGTTATATACGCACATTTATATATTGGAACATAGTTAATGGGGGAATTTATTTTGCTCGATTATACACATTTGCATTGGGTTTTTTCTTACTTCATCAATGGGTGGAGAACAGGAAAGTAAGAGGGAGAGAATTCAGAACTGAAAAATAAAATTGAATTAAAAAAATAAATTCAATCTAGCCTTCAAGGTCCAACTCAAATTGTACCTTCTCTGTGATGTCTTTTCTAACCATTCAAGTCCACACAGATCCTTCTCATCTCCCTATACCTAATGAAATTGAAGTTAGTACTAAACAGTTTATCACTGATTTCACATGTATGAGGGTGGGGCCTATAATTTTCATACTTCTGTATCCATTACAGCACTTAACAAAAAGTTAAGCACATAGTAGGCAAACTAATAAATATTTGAGCAGTTGATTAATTGTGCATCCTACCATAATCCACTGGGAGAATTAGGGCAGTGCTCATCTTTTTTTTTGGGGGGAGGGGTGTAAAACCTCTTATACTTACCTCATGAGGCTGCTAGCAGAATCAATTGAGATAAATGCTATCTATGCAAACCTTTAAAATGCTTAAAACTCATAATTCTCTAACCTTAACTTGTGAAAAAAAAATCTTGCAAGTTCACTACCAATGAACTACTTTAAATCCAGAGATGGGGCAGAAAGCTCTTGAACTAATACCAATAGGCAATTCAAGATTAGTCTAATATCAACTTGGTATATAAGCCAACAACTTGATTTAGACAGTGAAGCAAACTAGTCAGCAGAAGATTCTATAAAGAAAGCACATACTTTACAAAGTCTATTCTTTCAGATGAGCTAACTTATGGTTTATGCAGTGAAGGGACTGTGGCATAATGATAGAGAACTGGCCTTACAGTCAGGAAGACCTTGGTTAATATTTTTTACTTAAAAGGTTTGCTATCTATTTAGTTTATTTTAAACAGTGTAACATGGAAAATTCTGTGTCCAAAATATATTCTTCACTGTGACAGATAAGAGAAAAACAAACAAAAGTAAAGATAATTGCAACTAAATTGTATTCTATAAATACCATGAAAGGAATTTCACCCTATGTTTGGACACATTTCTACAAAATTTTTAATTACTCTGAATCCTCACTGTATTATCTAATAAATCTCAGTATGAACACATTCTCAGCAAAATGAAAGAAAAATGAACCCTGTACTCTGCGGTATAAAAAACTTTGATAGGCTAAGTAAATAAGGAAATTAATCTTTGGGCAGAAGTTGCTACTTATTTTCTTCTGTACTCTATAACCATTATTGTTTCATGGGCCAGTGCATTTTCACATAACTTATTTCCATAATTATTTATTTGGAAGGTTGGCTATAAATATTTTAAAATAATAAATATAAATATTTCTTTCATATTTAAAGGGTATATAACCAATGTGCCCTCCATGGGATTGAAAAGATAAAAAGATCTTGCTTCTCTTAGTCATGCTTTAGAAAGTCACACTGAAAGGCAATGTGACATAACAGAAAGCACCTGGGACTTGAGTGAGGAGACCTGAGTTACAAACCAGGTTATTTAGCTGTGTATCAAGGAAAGCCATCTAACCACTGACTTTTATCTCACCTATAAAATGGAGATAATAACACTTGCACCATCAACCTCATAGCATTGTTAGGAATAAATATTGCTGTTAGAAAGCTACACAATGACTGAGGTTCTCTTACGCATGTTGATTTTCAGCACACAGGTGTTGAGACTCCAAGGTATGTGGCTGAGCACCACACAATAACACTGAAATTGCTATGTACTCTCCCTCACTACTTCCCACTTCTTTCTTTGTATAAATTTAAATCAAGTCATGACATCGCTTTCCTGATGTCATTGGTCCTCTTGGAAAGCAAAGGACAAACAACAGCTATATGTGGGCCTAGAAGAAACTTTTGTTCCAAACTACCATCCTAGGAAACTTTCCACTTCTTGAAAGCCTCTAACAACCTGGTAGCTCCAATTCAAATATAATTTTTGAGATCGCCAAAATGAAGTTGAATCGGGCAACTGAAGAACCAATAATGGTTCCAGGGAACAGATAATACCCCACCCTGGCTTCTACTCACACAAGACAGGGAATAGGAAGGCAGAATATTGTCTACATTGTCAGACCGATCACTGCATAAGCTGACATTTTCCCCTTTGTTGCAATAGAACATTCAAAACAACAACGGGAGAACGAACTACTACAGTGTCAGTGCCCTACTATACCCCCTAGCTGTCACTTCATGTACGATTTAAATTTTATATTGAACCTTAAACTAAGTAAACTTTTAAGCTGATAGTTAAAATTTGATGGGTCCATTACTTTATCCCTTTGGCACTCTTTCTGCTTCCTACGCACCCATGCCTTTGCATTCTTTGCAATTATTCTGTTTTCTTATAGATCCTTCGAAGAGGGTATTTCCAACATTCTCAAGGCCTTCTTTCACTCTCTAGAGTACAAGTGTATCTCTTGGGGTGTCTGTCATTTCTCATCTTGACTGACCCATCTCCTTTTCTAGTTATCATACACTCACACACATATATCTCCTTGAATTTTGTGCCACTTCTGCATGTCTATTATTGCTAATTTTGTTATGAAAGTAATTAAAGAAAAATTATCATAAAGTACTTTGTAAATTTTGTAAAAGTATCAAAATCAATCTGGAGAGGTTACCTTATTCATATAACTAAAATTACATTTCATTTTTAAAATAAGTTTTATTGGGCCTTATTGTTTTGACATCAGTCATTTCTGCATACGCCATTCCCCAAAAGACTTTTTTCAGTGACTACTTGCCATTCCCCTTAACCTTTTCCCATATCCGCTAATGCTAGAAATAATGACTGAAGTAATTCCCAACCTCTGCAAGAAAGAGATTTGAATATCAGGTGTGCTAGGACACATAATGCATACTACTATGCTATTATCATGGCAGTAAGGTGCCATAATTCTCCTCTCCTATATGGCACATTAGAGGCAGTATGTGCTACTAAGCTCTATGGCCCCAAGGCTTAGTACTAGAACCCACTTTTCATTTGAGAGAGAAACTGAAAATAAGTAACTAGAAAGGGATGGAGTACACTCAAAACATTTCCATATGAAGAGGATCAGATGGGTGGTACAGTTAGTTAAAAATCTAACATGGTCTAGGCATTTTTCTAACAAGCCATAGCTCTTCTGTATTTAAATAGGCAAGGATGTGGTGAGAAAGTCTAAGTCTGGAGTGAAAACAAATAACCTCTGAGTCTGCTCCTAGTGAACTAGGACTGAACTTGGTCCCACTTAGCTATCAGTTACAAGTGTATTATTGAATTTTAGGTTTCAACAATGTGACAAAGTAAATGTGAAAAAAGAGTATTAGGCATTATTTAGAAAAAAGATGAAAGACTCTTGGAATAGTAATCACTATAATCTTACCATATTACTCTCAATTTTTTATATTTTTATTTATATCAGGATATTATATAGTCTTCAATCCACTAAGAGAATCATTTTAGCATGTGTATTTAAAGCATTAACAAAATAAAAGTATTTCACAAAAGAAGTCAATGTTACAGTACTACTGAAATGAGGCATAGAATAATTATACATTTGTAGGTTATAAACATAATACATTCATTTAAAGAATAAACATTTAATGCAAATAACATTTTGGTTAAAATAAATATCATGGTAAATGTTAACGGCAACACCTACAGTACATGGATACTAGAAAGGTGTTTTGTAATAGATACTACTTAGAAAGGTAAGGCATTCATGAAATGGTTTTTTAATAATTTTTACCAAATTGACAATCATCACGTACTACTGAGCACTGTATTTAAATAGGGGCATGCTTCATTCACCCTTTGTAAACTTTTGTATATGAAAATCAAATTTTTATTCTCTGGGTAACCTACCACATCTAAGTGTTAGAATCAGATGTACTTTTCATTTTATTGCTTCTGAAATCAATTTAACTGATTAGTTTAGTCAATATAACAGTTTAATCATAAACTGAAATATAAAGAGAACATTTCGTAGGCATGTTTAGAAAGTCAACCAACTCATAATCATCTTCATAATTTCTTGGAAATGATCCCTTTGAAAATTAAAATTTGACTTTTAACACAGTGGTTTCTTCAGAAAAATAATATGCACATATAAGTCAAAATAATTATACAATCTATGAAACACATAGCTTCAATATATATAAAGTGTGGTAAGGGTCTTCCTTGAGCATTATCTTCTTCCCCAATATGGTCTGCTAGCAGACACATATATTAAGAATGGCCAACTCTTTCTGTACAAGGCACAATGGATAGTTAAGCTCATGAATTTTAGACCCGTGTGTTTTTAAAAGACTGCAGGAAGGGAAAAGCATCCTGTTCCAACAAGAGAACACTTCACCTTAATCACTTTTACAGCAACATTAAAATGAATATGACACCAATGGTCAACTCAAATGATTCAGTTCATAATTCTGCAGATACATTGCCATGGATGCTTAAAAGTGTAGTCAGGGCAAAAGAAATAAATTACATTTAGTTTCAGGGTAAAGGACAAGTAGTTTTTTTTCTCCATATTAAAATTAATATGTCAGAACTCCAAATGTCATAGACTACTTTTAGAAAGATAAAATCATTTTGTATCATGAATACTTTATGGATTTTGAAGTTTAAAAATTGATTGAAAACTTGTCTGTATGGTTCAGATTTTCACATATTTGTAAGGCAAAGCATATTAAAAATGATGGGCAAGATTGTCTTCTAGTATATTTCCTTGTTGCATGAGAAGCTTCCATGTTAACAATACAATCTACTCCAGTGTTTTATAGTAGAATTATCTCTTTGTGATGACTAAACTTAACATTCTCTTTTGGCTCAAAAATTCTACTCAAGGCACTGGGTATAACTGTCAAATGCACATGAGATCAAAGACATACTAAAACAGTACTTAACTACAGGTGCTTTATACTCTGTAGATTTCTTTAACCTAAAAGAAGCTTTTAATTGTGTGTTATCTTCACATGTAAAGGACAGAACACAGGACTTCTCTTGAATCTTCTCAACAAAAATGATGATCTCACAAAAATCTGAGTTGATGTAATGACCTACTTTTATAGCTTTAAACATATGCTAAAACACTATCTCAATATTCAAATAAGTGAAGCTGTTTGCATCAACATCCACAGGTGCATTATAAAACATGTCCTTTCTTCCTCGCCACCAAAACAAAATAATCACCTATACATACACAGTGACCAATATCTTAAAAAGTAAAAGAACATATACCAAACTTTCTATTCAATTCAAGAAAATTACTGGTAACCTGAATGTACTTAAAAAGGGTATCATCAGCATGTACTCTGCACAATTGAAACATTAATGAATAAAATGAAAATTTAAAAATATAAATAAGAAAGCAACTGTTGCAGAATATAAAAAATACTTCTGAAAGGGACAGATCTTACACATCACGAAATATAGGAATAAAAACATATGCTTACATTATAGTGCACAATTATATCTTGTCATTGGGTTTATGAATTAAATGTATTTAAATTGATAAAGGAATTCAAATATAGTACTGCAAAGTCATTCAAAGAAATAGTTTTAAAATGTACAAACAACAATAAAAACACACAGAAGCCTTGGGCAACGTGCAAATTTTAAAATGAATATCACACCAGCCAAACAAATCCTTAACCATTTTTTTATGGATTCATTTATGCCATTTTAACGAAACGAAAAGATAAGAATATACATAAACTCATCAGTGTCCAACTCACATTTTCCCCAAAAACTTTCACATTTCAGAGCTATATGTTTAATGCATGAGCTGAGACATTACAAATGTTCAAATAGTTTTGTCTACATTCAGAAGTTAATTTCAAAACTGCAAAACATTAAGAACTAAAACATACACCTCCAACTTTTAAAAATTACACAATTATTTAGAAGTTCACAATCATGTTTATCTATGAATGATGAAACAATAGATGAAACACATGCTTAGAGATTTTGGTAATAAATCTAATATGACATGTGCCAAGCTCCACCATCAGTATTTTGGCACTTGATGTGGATTTGAACACAATTTTATCAGTAGGAAAAATAAAAAATGTTTTGAAAACACTTAACCACTCCAAATTGTAAATTTCTTTTACTTTCCAATTCTAATATTAAAATTTCCTTATTCCCAGAATAATTTTTGTGTAGGTAAGGGAAAATTTGAATTGGTACGAAATGAAACTGATATGAAAACTGGTTAAGGATTCAAAGCATATCAGTCAGCTCTGAAAAACTATACTTAGCATACAGACAACAGAGGGGAGGTATGATCTGCACAAATATACTTGAACATTTTCTGGTTCTATTCTTCATGATCTGCCACGTGCTTAGCTGCTTGCAGTACATGCGTGCATCCGTTTAGCTACATCATAAACATAGGTTATATCTGGTCGCTTCTCTGGATCTGGGTTGATGCACATATTTACTAACTGTCGTAACTGGAAAAAAATGATAAAAAAAATCTTAAAACCAAAACAACGTTAGACACCAGTACTATAGTGATGAGATGCTTATTGTGAGAAACTATGTATACTTACAGTTTTATTCTGAAAAAGCACTATGTCTAAGGACAGACATTTGATTAGGTATATAAAATTCTAAAGTTTCATTCAATGACATTTTACATTTATACAATAAAAATTTGTAAACATGCAAAGTACATATTTTTCTAAATGCAGACTAGATACCACTACTAAAATAGGTATTTCTCAAAGAAGGTTGATCCTTATGTCACAATCACTACAAACTTTAGAATTTCAAGTATCGTGCTCTACATTGAACATTTGAAAACATTTATTCGGTTTAAAAGCTATACAAGATTTATTAGAACATATGACTAAATACCTGTATAAGATGAAGGTTAAGCTCAGAACAAAAAGGAAACTATATACAATGATTTCAACTATGTAAAGGCAGGTAGTAGCAAACATCAACAAAACTCAGAAATTCAGTTGACAACTTTGGTACAACCTTGTTAAATTAATCAAAGAATTGTAGAATTGTAGAATCAGAAGGAACCCCAGTAGCTTGAACACACAAAAAAGAATCCCCATCATAAAGAGCCAACAAGTGGTCATCTAGGCTTTGCCTGAAGACATCCAGTGAGGTCTCAGACACCTCATATTTCACTTTTGGATAGACTTCATTGTTAAAAAGTTTTCATGATATCAAACTTAAATTTGCCTCTGTTTGGCTTCTTCTCCAGACTAAACATCTCTAATTTTTTTTTCAAATGGTTCTCTTCTAACTTAGGATCCTTCACTATACAGGCTGCTCTCATCTGGATGCTCTTCATCTTATCAATTTTTTTCCCCTTAGAACTCACTGTAATATTACATATGTGGTCAGATCAGGGCAAAATATCACTATATGAATATCACCTCCTTATTCCTTTAAGCTACATATCTCTCAGTACAGACCTCCTTCACTTTTTTTGACTGTCATGTCACACTGTTGACTCATATTGGATTTGTGATCCACTATAATCCTTGGCATTTTCTCAAACAGTTCTTTAACTATGCGTCTCCTAACTTGTATTTGTGAAGCTTATTTCTGAACTCAACAAACATAAGAGTATATTCATCTCTATGAAATTTCATAAGAACAACTTAACTTATCAAACGCCTTGCTAAAATCTTGGTTAAAGATTTCTCTTGACCTACTTGCTTAGTAACTGTTAAAAAAAAAAAAGGAAATAAGGTTTGATTGGCATGACCTGTTCTTGCTGAAGTCATGCTGATTGTCTGTGATCACCACTTCCTTTTCTAGATGCTCATTAATCACCTCTTTAATAACCCATTCGAGAATTCTGCCAAAAATCAAGGTCAAGGAAATCGGCATTAGTTTGCAGATTCTTGTCTCTGTCTCTATCTTTGAAAGAGGAGCTAGGTGGTACAGTGGCTAGAACATGGGACTGGAAGACAGAAAGACCAGAACTGAAATCCAGCCTCAGATACCTGCTAGCTGTGTGACCCTGGGCAAGTCACTTAACCTCTATTTGCCTCTGTTTCCACATGTATAAAACCAGTACCTTCCAGGGTTTTTGTGAGAGTCAAACCAGATATCTGTAATTCCTCTCTACTGTAAATACAGTGAATCTCTAATTTATAAACATGCTGTTTTTCAAAAGGTTGAACATAAGTCAGTTATTTGAAACCCGGAGGATAAATTCATATAAAAATGAAGTTACATTTGGTGGCTGGGTTATCTGGCTAGGCCACAAAATACACTGTAAAAGTGTTAGCTATTATTATTATCATTATTACATCAGACTATCACTTCCTCATCCTCCTCCAATATCTTCTCTATCCTCCATGGACTTTCAAATATCACTGACAGCAGCTCAGAAATCATAGACAATCAGTTCTCTGAGTATCTGAGGACAAAGTTTAGCGGGACCAGAGGACCTGAATTCACAAGGACCACTAGATATGCTTTTAATTAATTAATTAATTTATATTAACTATCAATCTCAATTTGACATTTTTATTCTATCCTTTCCTGGGCAAATACCATTCTATCTATTGTTAGTTATCAATAATCTAACCAATACAAGTTACAAGTTTTGATTTTTCCTTGACCTCCTATTTTCTCTAATATGGCTCCCATAAAAAAACCCACTCCTTTTTGTTTTCCTTACCTTTACACACTTCATGTTGAGCTTTAGCATTTCAGACACTATTCTTAAATTATCATGACATGATTTCTCTCTTATCTGTCCTTACTTCCAACATTTATTTATCTCTCAAAAAAAAATAACAAAAATAAACTAGTTGGTTGGTGAGCTCTTTGGTTCTTCATTATCAGAATTATTTCCCTTTGTATCATCATAAATTCATCCTTGAGAGTTTTCTATCCCCAGCAGAATTTCAATTCATGAGATCCAATCTATTTTCCCCTTTGATGGCTTTAAAATATGCTTTTCTTCCACTTCTAGGCTGCATGTCAGTGGTCACTGTTCCCCAAGGTAGGTAACATTGACACCTAGCTACCAGTTCTTCTTAGTAAGAATCAGATCCAGATTAAAATTTCCCCTTGTTGATCTCCCACCTTTGAAGAATAAAATTAAGGCAGATCAAGAATTTATTCTTTGCTGTTCTTTTGGCAGAGAGTGCGATAGCACAACAAGATCTAGACAGCTGAGCTCCTTTATCATTACAGTATATCTCTATGTCATACTTTTTATCTATTTCCCAAACTTAACACCTACTTCCAGATGGTCTATTGTAAACTCTGACGACAAGATTGCTTCTGTTTTTCCCTCTCCATCATGCTTTTTCCTTCTAGCTCTTGGATTTCTCCATGAGTATAGCTTTTTTTTTTTTTGTGAGGCAATTAGGGTTAAATGACTTGCCCAGACTCCCACAGCTAGTAAGTATTAAGTGTATGAGGCTGGATTTGAACTCAGGTCCTCCTGACTCCAAGGCCAGAGCTCTATTCACTGTGCCACCTAGCTGCCCTGAGGACAGCTTTTTAATATGCTCCCTACAACCTCACACCTTACTGCTATTTCTTTTGAATAAAGTGCACCAATCCAGAGGCATATTTCAGTCAAAAGTTTCATCCACCAAGTCTCATTGATATTTATAAGCTCAAAATTTGCTCCTTGCATTATAGCCTCTATGAAGAGTCTTTCTTCATCAATCTTTTGCTTCAATATTACAGTCACATTTTCTTTTTTTAAATGCTGTATGGTGATGGGAGTTGAGTTTTTTGTTGCTTTTTTATTCTGATTGACTAAAAAATCTCCCAAACAAAACCAATTAAATGATTGTATATTTGTGAACCTGTCTCATATATATGCATCGCATTGAGTAGAAAATGTCTAAGGTCCCATTAACTTTAAATCTATTTATAATTATCTAGTCTAATCCCCTTCATCTTAAAGGATGAGAACTATGGCCCAGGGATGAGAAAAAGTCCAAAGTTACATAGATAGTAAGCAGCAGAACCAGAATTCAAAACCAGGTCTTCAAAGTTCAAATGCAACACTTTCTCCACCAGACCATTGGATGCCAATTAATTCTCCACATAGAAGTGATGAATTTCTTACCATCCATTACATCTGGAAAATAATCCATACCTCCTCATTGAAACCCCTCTTTCAATTCAATCTTTAATAATGGATTAACAGGAATCCCATATAATAGTCATTCAGATAAAAAAAAAGACAACAAAAGAAATTTATACACTGAAAATATCATAATTATGTCCTTGGGCTCTTCCTGATATGTGACCATTTTAAGGAAGAACTGTATTATAAATTAAAAGTTGTTGGTATTTTAGTAGCTAAATTCTATATCTGGAGTCCAAGATTGACCTACTTTATATTTAACTCCTCTCTAAAGTAAATATAGTGAATCTCTAATTTATAAACATGCTATTTTTCAAAAGGTTGAATATAAGTCAGTTATTTCAAACCCAGAGGATAAATTCATATAAAAACAAAGTTACATTTCGTGGCTGGGTTATCTGGCTAGGCCACAAAAGGCTTCTTTTAACTATAATCTACAATGGAGATGAGGTGAATCTGGCAGTTATTCATAGATATTGAGTCAAAATTCAGGTGTTGCAGGTAACTACTAATTGTAGAGCTCAGTCAAGGATGGCTTTCAGTCAAAGATAGGAAAGAGGGGAGCCTGAACCAGAAGGGCAAAGACTAGGAGGCACACTGAAATGGAAGACATGAGGGAATAAATAAATAACAGAGAGGACTACTCATTGACCTGAGTAGAGGCAGTAAGACAGGTACAAGTTCAGATTAAGGCAGAATGCTTCAACCTTCAAAGGGCCCAGCTTCTGAAGGGGTCTCAGGTTCTGTGTATGTTGTTTTTTGCTTCTTCACAAGAAGAATTTAATTCAATAAGCATCTCTGAAATGCCTCTTACATATCCATGGCCTCATGGGGCCATAAAGACAAGAACAAAGGAGTTTCTTCCTTCAAGAGGCCTACATTCTATCAGGGGAAACATATGTACACAAATAAGAAGATTCAAAACACATAGAAAATAAATATAAAGAAATTTCAAATATTTGAAGGGCTGTTTTTTGAAAGAAGAATTAGACCTGATCTCCTTGTTCCCAGGGTGCAGAAACAGGAGCGATATGTAAAGGCTGAAGGTTTAGGATTGCTATAAAATTACAACATTATTCCAAATAACAATTACTCACTTTAAGGTTTACAAAGCACCTTCCTTGTTAAAGCCTTGTGCAGCAGGAAAACATAAGGAAAAACATCAAAACATGAGAATTATAAATGAGTGTCATGAGATGCCTGGGAAAGAGGTGGAAAACATCAAGTAACACTGACTATACTAGCATGTGTAGAGAGCATTGCTATACATCTGCAGTGGACTAGATGGCTTCTGAGAACATCTTCAAGCTTTAATATTCTGTAAACAGCAATATAGTTCAATCCTCTTTTTCAAGAAGAAACTGA